TCTCTCTCTCTCTCTCTCTCTCTCTCTCTCTCCTTTTTTGTAGTATCTGCATGGTCGAGAATAGCCCCTAAGACTTGAGATCCGGGAAAGGCGTGTATTTTTGGCACAGAGAAGAAGAGAGCAACACAGGCAGAGAGTGCAAGATGTCACAAATACCCGGGCGAAAGAGGAACACCAGGGGGCGTTATGTCTCTAAAATTACGTCGACATTGAAAAGGCCAAAAAGAACCGTAAAGTGTTTATGCAACCGTATACCCAACGTGCATAAGACAGGGCCGGGAATAATGCCATTGACACAACACCGGGACCGCAGGAGGTAAACTGTGATCCGAACCTCACGGACGTTACCGTAAATTTGTTGAAAGCCGAATGTTCTTTCTGCACAGGACTTCCTGCTTTTTGGAGTTCTCTTTTAGTTCGCGTGGCGCCGCAAGTCAAGAAATGGACGTGTCAGCAAAAAGTATGGAAAGTAAAAGAAGAAGAAATATTGTAGAAAAATGAACAGTGGTGCGCAGATTATAATTGGATTGAGAGGATCAGTAATGAAAATATGTTTTCTTCTTTATTGTAAGCTTCATATAATGTCACTCGTGCGCGTCCGTGTTTGTAGGCTAGTCAGAGGGTGGTTTATTAAGTCGGAAAATGACAGATGTCTATGTTGAACGATCCTTTTGGTTTGAGTCACACGGTTCTAGACGTTGTAATTGTCTCACTCTTGTGTCCTGCCTACTCTAGTGAGAGGTTTCGCCACAGTGAAGTGATGGAGGAGTCCCAACCTGCACTGGTTATGTCTAAAGAGACGGATATGTCACCATCTGGGTGGTCGGGGGCTGTTTAGAATGGCATGGCATGTTCCTTCTATTTCTTTTCATGGTAAATGCATCATAAAGTGCCCTTCCACGAGAGGTTGAAGGGTGTCATAAACAAGTTTAACTTCTTTCCTTTACAAAATACATCTTTGGGATGGGGTGGGGGGGGGGTGTTAATGACCGTTGGGTAACTATATGTTCCTCTTTATTTTAACTGACAATAAGAATTTGTCCTATTCGATATATTCGTAGTCGTGCTTATAGAAGTACATACCGTTGCAGAAACTTTGGCGTGCATTTCTGCTGAAACAATTGCCTCAACTTCAATCTGTGAAGTTGTAGATTTGTGTGACTAAACTGGTGTGTGCAAACAAGGAGGTGGTCGCTGTTCTGTTTTCTTTCATCCTTTACTTACTTGATACCCATTACGCCATCTGGCGTTTAGGGCAGCAACAAAGGATCTCCAGCTCTGTCTGTTTTGGGCCATCTTGGTCAGCGTTCCCCACGAATGATTCCAGGACTTCATTTCAGACTCTACTGTGCGTCTCCAGGTCACTTTGGGTCTGCCCCTTTTGCGACGTCCTTCGGGTGTCCAGTGGAGGGCAGTCTTCACAATAGAGTCTGGCTCTCTTTTCAGAACATGTCCAATCCATCTCCACCTTCTCCTTTTTATTATGGTTATCATGTCCTCTTGCCAACATTTACGTTTCATCCCTTACGGTGTTTTTAACCTGACAGTTCATTTGATGCACTGTTTTGTTATGAGATATCTGATTAGTTCGAATAATTTATGATTAATGCACGTTACAGCGTAGCCTGCTCCATCTGACAGTTGTCGTCGTGTTTCTCAATAGAACGTGGCTATCACTGTGTCGATTTGCTGTATTCTACAGCTCAGACCGGCACCATAAGATCTGGGACAGCGAGGGGTACAGGTTCGATAAGTCGTCGGTAAAAGTAAAGTTGAACCCTCCAATGTTCCAATCTGAAACTTACTGGTTGGTTAGAGGACACGACTGGTTGGTCCTACATAATGCTCTTTTCTGTCTGTCTGTCTCTCTGTCTGTCTGTGTGTTTGTCTGTCTCTCTGTCTGTCTGTCTGTCTGTGTGTTTGTCTGTCTGTCTGTCTGTCTGTCTGTCTGTCTGTCTGTCTGTCTGTCTGTCTGTCTGTCTGTCTGTCTGTCTGTTTGTCTGTTTGTCTGTCTGTCTTATCTATGTTGCTCCATCCATGCACTACACTATAAGACCGTTATTATGTCGATGTGCTACTGTTTACTCACACTAAAAAGCTCAAGACCTAATTGTGTCGATGTGTTACTATTTACTCTGCGTTGATTTCATTTTAAGAACATAACGTGTGTATGGAAGTTGCGCGGGGTGGGGATCGAAATCTTATACCAAGTCGCCAAACTGTTGTTTTTAATGTTTAGTAAGAGTTTTACCCCACTTACAACACAGTTAAGTCACATAAGTGCCGAAGATGAGAGCTGTTACAGAGAGTGATAGAGAGTGTCAGACACAAAATAATGGAAGGGGGGTAGGGGGGGAGTTAAGGACGATAGATGTTTGGTAGGGACATGACAGAAGGACAACCAAACCACCCCTCCAGCACCCGCCAACCACCCCTTCAGGAAGACGTCAGAGGAAGTAAAGACACTTAATGAATGCACGGCGACGGCGAGTTAGCGTGGATCCCCCTGGCTTTTCTGTGGGCCTGTCACCCGTCTGTATTTAATCCGGGTTTATTTCGTTTCTTTTATCGCATAATGACGTGTTGACCTCCAGTGCTGGCTGAAAGCAGAACGTGCATAATATGTATATATTGGTGGCGTAAAATCAATGCTTGGGGTGATTTACTAAACTTCGATGATCGCCGATCTTAACGGGTGCTCATGAGGGCCAGTGTTCTTTTTGCCTCCCTCTCTCAACTGATACGATTTGAAGCGTGTGTTTTGCTACTGCTTGTTGTTTTCTTGATGTTTGCAAGAGATGGGTACAAAAAGGTGAATGAAGTAAGAGGGGAGAGAGAGGGGGGAGGGGGTAAGAGAGAGAGAGAGAGAGGGGGGGGCTGGGTAGAGATGGGGCGATGATGGTATAAAGAGAGGAGAAATTTGAGTGATCACAAGAGGGAGGAAGATAGAGAGAGAGAGAGAGAGAAGGGGGGGGGGGGGTTGGATGGGCAGAGAAAGAGTGAAAGCGAAAGAAGAAAGATCGAGAATACAGAGCTTTGCTGTAGTGGCTTTCAGAGGAATAATGAGACATAACATAATACAAGAGCACTGAATCCCCATAATCTTCAACTGGCCCCCAAACCATTTCCCGACTTATACCGGTTATTCACCTTGGCAGCAGTAGGCCTACTCTTTTTTTGGTTTTGATTTTGTACTTCAGAGCGCTCAATGTGAAATGGATTTTTTTAAAAATAATATTGTGTTGGTTTTTTAAACTGCCTTGCAGTTTAATTCATAAGAAGGTTTCTAGAGTACTTAGCAATGTTATACTGTCTGTTAATGTCCGTAGTGGTGGATTAAATCATTTATCTGGGCATCTTACAAAAGCAAAAGAAAGATTCAACACAATTATGCTCTAATTACTTACAAAAAAGAAATAAAAGGGAGTTCTGGGATACAAGAAGTGCTTACACTTTTTAGAATATATTAGTGCTGTTGTATCGGTCGGCTAGGTTTGCTCGCTGCGTTTTTCTTTTGGGGACTACCATTATATAAAACATCATCATTTTCATCATCGTCATTATGATAATAATAATAATAATAATAATAATAATAATAATAATAATAATAATAACAATAACTGCGTTTATATAGGGAAAAAATGAACGAAAAGACAGTTTCAAAGATATGGGACAATGGAGAATGACTGAGTCAGATAGAACACGCGAGTGCGAGCGTACACAGCTGCTCTTGATCCGGTATGCCAGACTCGCGTCCTACCTTGCTGTAGACTAGATAGAGACTTAGATAGAGGCCTGTCCGGTGCCTTCATGGTCCCTGAGAATGGACAGGTGCGGTCTGATCCGTCTCTGTAAGGCTGTGTGCTCGACGACGCGGCTTTGTCAATAGTGCTTGACTACGATTAGCAGATGTGTCTGCGTAATTGTTGTTGATCGACGAAACAAACACTGCGTGCGTGTGTATGTGTGTGTGATGTTTGGTGTTTGATGTCAGTTTAATGCGGACTCTTGTTTGTGGTAAACAAGTGAACTGACCTGGACAATAGCAACGTCATCCAACGCAACGACGAGAGGGTTTCTGTGGTGGTCACTTCGGCTTGGTTTAACGTTCCCGCCTGTGTTGAGTCCAGTGACGGTGTGTCTGACCTTCTGGGACGAATAGTGCATCGTGCTGTCGCGGTTCTTCTTGTGAGGAAGTGTCGTCGTTTTTGTGGGAGAGATTTCTTCTACTTCCATGAGTCATGGAATCGCTCAAGAAATTTTCACATTTGCTTAATAAGTCTGT